AAACTTGTTCAAACATCTGCGCCTGCTCCAAATACATGTTGTTCTTTCTATCCTGTCAACCCTTTGAAAAGGAAAAGGAGCTTTGCTAGAAAAGGAGGTATGTGCCATGGAAAGCCTGGTTTTTCAAACAAATACCCCTTAAAAAACAGTTTTTTCGAAAAGGGGAATGGTGTCCCTTTAACGGGAAACCACAAGCTGTTTAAACAGGGGGTACAAACGGGTTTAAACAAGGGTTGAGTCGCCCCGCCCCTCTTGTGTTGAGACCTGGCAGGTGGATTGCCTGCTGAAGGCTTTGCAGCCAGAGGGGCCAGCCAGGGGCTTGAAGGGCTTTGGGGGCTGAGGGGGTTTCAAAACTTGGTGGCTCCCAGCCATCCGGTTCCCTAGCTTTTTAGACTTTTAGTGTTTAGTGGGGGTTTCCATTCGACCCACTAAAAGTTAGTGACTTTTAGCAGGGGATCTGAGGGCAGCCCAGAAAAGATTTGGCTGGGTCCCATTTTGGTTGGTAGGTGAATCCACCCATTTTAGGCTTTACGTTAGTGGGGGTAGGGGCTTTTGACCCCTGGCCATTTGTTGCGTGGGTTCTTAGGTGTATCGTGCAGGTGTTCAGGGATGCGCTCTTCGCCCAAACGGGTGGCTCGTCTTTTTTGGGGAGCTCCTTCGTTTTAACGGGAAACCGAAAGAAACATGGAGATCCGTTTTTGCGGTCATCCTAAAAAGAGACACGCACAACTCGAAGAGTCCGAGAATGGTTTTGTTTGGGGTTGGTCGGAGCATTGATTTTTGGCTATGTCAACTGAAGGGATGAATCCTCCCCGAGACAAAAGACTGGGAGACCAAGAAGAGGCTGTTGAAACACCTGGCTTTCGATGCAACCACACCGACCTTGCTAAATTTTCGGGGACCCTCCATGATGCCCAGAAGATTCGGTCAGAACCCCATCAACGACCCCATGTTTGAAGGGTCATGGAGACCCCAGGTAGATGAAATCACGTTTGAAAGTGTTATAATTATTGTGAAATTCAAAATTATGGTGTTTGTTTATAATTGGAAAAATGTATTTCGAATATTATGTTTATATTTATTTTTTGTGATGTTGGAATTGTAGTTGGAAGAATGAACATGTATTTTCGATAATAAACTATATTGTGTTTGTTACGAACTTTGTTTTGTGTTTAGTGTTGCGAACAATATTTTCTTTTTTGATTTTACGAAAATGATGTGTTTGTTACGGCATGCTACGAAATGTGTATTTAGTTTTGTGAGAGTATTTTTATGATTTTCGAGTTGTAAATGGAAACATGTATTTCGAATGCTATTTTTATTCTGCAATATCCTCAGTTGCAACCAAAGCTTTTCCAGTTTTCGTATCAAGGTCCCAAAAGGTCGACCTTTGATTTCCAGCTCCTTTGGGTAGATCCTCACTTTGCGAGTTCCTGGACTTGGAACTTTTGGGGAAGGCCTTTTTAGCGGAATGTAACACAAACTTTGGGCCATCCACGCGGGAAGCCAAGAGCACAGCAAACAAAACTAACTTGGTGGCTCCCAGCCATCCCTTTGCATTTTAGCCTTTTAGTGTGTAGTGGTAGTTTCCATTGAACCAACTAAAAGTTAGTCACTTTTTTAGCGACGCCCAGAAAAAAGAACAACGCACAAAAGAACAACTGAGGCCGTGGATGCGGAATGCATCGCCAGGCCGGATGTCTGGAGAGAGAGGCCTCCAGCAGGTGGCTTCCTCTTTTCCCGGGGTTCTTTTCTTTAAAATGGGCTGGGTGGCAGAAACTTTCACCTCTAATATCAACCAAGAAGACAAGCTTCCCGAATCTTGGGCCCTCCTTTTCTCAGGCCCTTGCACTAGAAATGAGGTCCACGAGTCCACCTTCCAATGTAGATCCTGTTCGATTCCATGCATCCAGATAGAACCCCCAAGGGAAGAACCCATTTCTTGATTCACCCAAGCGGTAGGTTTTAATGAAGTCGTGAACATCACTTTTTGAGTCATGTTCAAATGAGTTTCTTGTTGTGGGCTTGTGGTGGGGTGGTGTTTATCAGGAACTCTATTCTACCCCATGTGTTGTTCTTTGCTTGGGCTTGTAGAGAAAGTCGATCTAAACTATGCCCATTTGGGTGTAGCCAATCGGCAAGGGCTGAATGGAGCGCTGCTCACTATGTTCAACCAACAAGTTAAGGGTTAGGGATCGAACCCAATACCCTTGGATTACAACCACCAGAAGGACGATGGGGGTTGATACAAGCGCCACTGTTTCGGTACAGCAGTTTTACCGTCCGCATTGGGTCCTTTCCATTGTGTTCCTTGGGGTTGAACCCTACCCCTACTACTCCAAATGCCCATATGATTGGGAGAAATTGGTTTTCCATGGTACATACTATCCCTCGAATTTTAGTCTGGGGTTCGTTTGACGGGGGAAAAACTTGGAGCCCCCCCTCCCTCCCCCCACGCCAAAAGAGCGCTTTTTCAGGGTGTCATGTCAACCCGCTACCAAAGTAACATGCTTCGAACAATACCCGCCTATATAAGAATTTTGCTTGGCCAAGCTGGACTGCAACCACAGAGGCACCAAAGAGTCAATCCAACTGCGCGGTGGGCCTCAAGCATGCTGCTGGCTGATGCGACGGCAAAGACAGCGTTGACCCCTCGCAGCCTCAGCTGTTGCCGAAATCACGCTTCCCGTTTGGTGAAGAGTCCCTTCATCCGGAGCACTCCAGTTTTTCAAGGGACCAGGCAGGCTCTTGCAAGGATCATTTGTAGCCCCAAGATCCATGGGCTGATGAGGCTAACATCAGACATTGCCAAACATGTCTAAGCGCTCAATCGTCCTCACGCTGGGTCTTTTGGCTCAGAGGCTGCCTGCGTGAGACGCGCATGCCCTCTACACGCGCAACTACGCGCTCCTGGTGCCTGGCCCTTGGTCAACCAAACAGCCCAGCCGCCGCATCCTTGAGAACTGACGAAACGCTGCAGCCAGGCCAACAAGCACAACGAAAGCGGTGTAACTTCATCATCAAATTTTCTCTGGGAGCGCTTGCAAACCTGGCTCTGACAAACGTCACATTGGAACCTGCCGGGCTCATTGCTTGCTCTGGCTCGCCTCGCGCTCTGTGCCTCTGGCTTCGGACTGTCGCGGCTGTCCACAAGCTCTGTCACAGCTGTCTGTCACAGCTGTCTGTCAGGCCCTCTCGCAGCTCGTAGTTGTCTGTCAGAAGCTCTGTCACGGTTGTTGGCAGATGTCACTTCATGTTGACCACGGATGAACAAACATCTCTTTGTTCATATGGGGGTGCTCCCCTTCAAAAGTGACAAATCCCCGCCTAAAGCCAGGATAGTAGAAACAGGAGTTGGTTAATATGAGGTCAACATTATATATTATAGCATGGTTGGAATTACAAATAGTAGTTAACCCCCCCCCTCCCCACAATAAAAAGTAAGAGAAAATAACCAAAATACATTTAAAACAAGAAAAATCGGGCCAATGTTACGCCCCTGGCCAGCATCGAGCAGCGCATGGCGGCGGTGGCTGGCCGGCCCTGGGAGCAGCTAGAGGGCCTCAGAGGCAAGCGCGTGGAACAGCTGAGCCCGGGTTGTCTCAGAACCGGAAACCCCCCTGTCCATTTTTCAAGAATATGTGGCAGGGCTCCTTAAAAGATCTCCATTTTGCCCATTTGAAACATGGCTTTTTCCACCCATTTAAAGGGAAACCACCATTTACAAGGCAATGTTCAGGTGTATAATGTAAGGATCCCTGTGTGCCTGGGGCCAAAACCGTTTTGGGATACCATTTTGGTTGGTAGGTGAATTCACCAACCACTTTAATCTGTGTTCGTGGGGATTGGGATGCTCACTGGGGGTACGGGATTTTGAACCATGGCCATGTTTTCTTTGAAGAAAATGACGGTTTTCCTGGGGGTCCTGTTCGAAGCGGGCCCCTAACTAAGGTGGATGCGCCAAACTACAGAAGGTGTTGCAACACTTTGAAGCGTGTTTGTCAAGCTACGACCTTTTGCTCTGGGGAGCTTGGAGCAACCCAGTAGAAAACGGGCCAAGAAGGTGCGCCAGCCGTGGCTATTTGACTGGGCCCCCGAGCTGCGATCACTGACTTGTTTCGGTGGAGCCATCTAGCTCCTTTCACCGGCCTGTGTCAGAATTCCTGAACGGACATGTCTGGCAACAATGGCAAACCAGCCGTGTGCAGCCCTCCCATTGTAGGCAACGCCCAAATTTGTCGCCCGATGGGCTGAAACGCGTTCATCGGCTTTCAAGGATCCACTTGTGAGACAGGTGATGGATCTTGTCCTCTGGCAACACTCGGGCCTGGGCAACCGTCTCGTGCGTCGGCTCAAGTTCTAAGCGACCGTCCAATTGGGGGAACGGCGTCAGAAGCCAATGCGTGAGCAAAGAAGAACATTGGTTTGCTCGGCGCAGCCAGCGAACAAAAATCAGCACCTTTTTGCAGGGGACTCGCTTTCTTCAAACTAGAAATATCTAGCAAGTCAAAACTGGGATATGGGCAAGAAAAGGGCTCTCTAGTTTTGACAAATATAGACTATATGTAATGCGCATTATTCACGCCCAAACGCGTACACAAGTCCGACAATTCGAGTTTGACGATATTCATACAACTTGGCTCATATCTAAATCTCAATTCATGTGTTTGATGTAGTCAAGATCAAACACATCAACCCACAGAGCCTCCGCCGATCTTCGTGTCCATCTTGGCACGGAGCCTCAGTTTGAGCTGTTTCAGGGATCTATACGGGGCCCGGCGCCCGTCTCATGCATCCCAGGGATCCCTCTAAACTGGTGGACTTTGAATGGCCTGCCTTGCGAGTTTATGAATCCAAAAGGGCTGTATGGGTGATTCCCTTATGAACCCCCTCGAATGTTTTTGTTTGAATGGCCGAAACGGCCCTAGTTTTAGGCCTCAGTTGAGATGCCAAAAAAAAGGGGGGAGAACAGGTTCCCGATCCGAATTTGCTTCAAGGTC